GGTTTTTAGCGCGTCCACATTCGCACCGTAGACCAGACTTACATCATGGGTCGCTACTTGACCCCGACCACATACCGCCGATCGAAGTCTGAGATCGTAATGATCGCGTTATTGCTGCATTTTTCGCATCGTACTATGCATCAATGCATGTTTTGTACTGCTAAAGATGATAAATACGGCTGAAGGTGTCAGGTCGATAGGCTTCATTTATTCAGATCGATGACCACAATCGGATAATCAGATACATAGTAATTGGTGGCGTGCTGTAATTGGAACCATTTTATATCATCTACTATGGAGTGATGCACCCTTTGTACCATATCATTTCTCCCACGTAATCTCCCGTCCCATTATTTGCAGTCTATTCGTAACCCAATCGTACTTCGAAAATTAATTCCCATTCGCAGTTTCTCGCAGGGGTTGCGCCCTACTCCCCAAGTTTGTTTGACCATTCTGTCACACGCACCTTGAGATAGCACTGTGTCCAAAGCGTAGATACTTGATCCCGCTTGGTTAATCTTTTGACAGGTGACTTGAGTTGTCTTGCTGTCAGTGATTGCGTTGCTTGCTTCGCTTGACCGTGTCCGGGGGAGGCTAAGAGATTTCGCGATATCGGCCTATCATTCAAAGAATAATATTCTGTGCTGACGAGGACGACTTTCTTCTACTTCGAGAGCCATATTTACTGCCCGAAAAAGAAGTCGTTAGGGTCTTCCAAAAGCAAATAAAAGTCAAAGCAACGATCATATTTAATTGTAAGCATAATCGCCTTCCAGGTGTCCTTCCTACCGTTATAATCGTACCGTCACTTGATGTGATACACGCCAGATCTTGTCCAGATCGCAGATCGTGCACCACCGGAATTCGGTCGAGTACGGTTCGTGGAAGTGTGGGCTACCATGAATGTGCTCTAACGCTGAATATGTGCTTAGTAGAATTTTAAGCTAGTCTTGACCTAATTGTGAGCCGAAGGTCGCCTAGGCAAAATGTTGGTCGACTATAAACTGCACGTTTCTCAAGATGGCAAACGCGATCTGACATCGCTGTGCATCGTGTACCGCAGTATTCTGCGCGAAAACCCCACCTGTCATTAACGATGTACATGGTCCTTCTCATCTGAATACTATACAATATATGCTGCTGACGCTTAGGTCGCTCCATCTTTTTGAAATATATAGACTTTTGACGATTTAGAAGCAAACACAACACATTGCGGGGCATTTGTGCACGGTGCAAGGCGCGGCAACATGACATTTTTTTTACCGCGACTGTCGCGTGTTAACCAGGACTCGTGATCCCTTTGCGTACATGGCACTGCAGATGTTGTCGCTGCAAGTTGATCTTGCAGTGCCATCAAGGATACAAAAGTGGAAACGCACTGTACGTGGGTGGCTAGTAGCCTCGCGCGCAATGGATGAGGTCAACTAGACAAGCTGCGCTGCGAGATAACAACGACCCATTTACGTCAAGGGCGGACATGCCTACTTTGCTTTGAAAGTTCCATCCAGAACATCACCACGAGCGATTCGTGGGATTGCAACCAGGCAAACTGAAACTGTCATCGCAGTGACTCGTGGAAAGCTCACGCGGGCGAGATATTGGCGACGCCATCTAAATGTTACACATTTGCAGCTTGTCAGTGTGCACGTCCCTAGCATGACAAGAAGGTGGATAGAAAAGAGTACCAAGAGACCGCAAAAAGCCGATGAAGGTAGTAGATCGGGCGTGTTTGGCTGTCACCGCGGGTTTGCAAATGCTTGGACCGCGAGATGATAGCGTCAGCTGCTCCAAGAGCATTGGACACAGAATAGGCGGTACGTCGTCGTTCCCCTCGCGTCTACTAACAGATGAGGCAAAGAATCGAGAACAGAGTGTCCTTCTTTTCCCACGAGATTTTCCTTGTTGGCGCAAGAGCAGACCATCTGTCTTTTGGATACACAGGCACGAAAGGTCGACCCGGAAAGTCGTAGGCACCTCGTACCTTTGCGGGCAGCACGTTTGCAAAAAAGGTCACCCTGCGCGTCCGTCCATCAACCAGAGCCTCGACTGGTGCCTTCTGTCTCAAGCACTTTACCGCGAGAGACACGTGTCGCCTGGCCTCGCACGAATACCATCGCATTCCTCGGCTCAGACTGCACGATTGTCGAAGGGCACGTGCGACATAGACATGCGTCACATGTGCAGAGAACGAGCTACTGATGGCGTACATCTGTATCCGACGTCTGGGCATCGGTGGGAAACAACTGGCACTTCTGCGAGAATGTTTACGGACAAAGACTTCTGCATGAAGTCATACCAATGCGATGATAGTTAAAAGAAGATCTGCGTAACGAGACCTCTGACGCCTAGAACGACTGAAACTCTATGTACCGACTCGCACTGAAGACGTGCTGCATCGGCGTGATGCGGTCACGTCTGTTCTCCGCAGTCATCTCGACGAGCTCCTGCAGGCCCTGTGCGAACGACTACGTCTCATACATCAAGCGCGCGGTCCTTGGTCAAGGTGCTTACCGAGGTGTGAGACGAAGCAAACTCAATCAACGTTTGATGGAAAGTTAGTAAATGGGAGTTGCTACTTGCGAAAAAAGTCGAGGTGCTGGCACGATCGTGGCATCTACGGTAACGTTAGTCGAATCACGAAAGACAAGTGAGTACATGGGAGTGACTACTTGCGAGGAAAGGTTGAGGTGCTGACACGATCGTGGCATCTACGGTAATGTTAGTCGAACCACGTACATCGAGGTATAAAAATGCCGGTACGTATCTGCACATTCGCACATGACGCAATGTGTAGTGTGCCCGCATGCCTCGAGGCGAGCTAGGAATGCGGCTACGCACATTCGCTAAGTCTTCGTCAGGCATTTGACGTATCAAGAGCGGGCTTCACGACCCGCAAGATGTCCTCGGTGACCGCACCATCACAAAAGTCACGTCGATATGACACATGCTCGACAACAACTCCATCAGGCAGCCAAGGTCCCTGACGGGGTGGGTTTTCCTAACGCTGATGTGGGTGTCCATACAGTCTTTCATCACGGCGATCAGGTGAATGCGAAGCACACACCGCGGCGTTGCCACACTTACTCGCTATAGCTACCAGCACACGCTAGACTTCGAAGTTGACCCTCCCTGCGTACTTGGTTGATTGGGATCGCAGCTGCTCGATCGACGCTCTGCGACTAGAAGCTCACCCACGTCCCACGTCGCATCGCACGCAATCGATTTCTCGAGAACGGCGACAGACCGTTGCGAGTATGGACCACTTAATTGATACTGTTCTGTCACAGAAAGAAAGGCTAAACGCCTGATTTACGAACCGTGAACCTCTGCTTGCTGAGATTTGGGAGCTCAGACTGCTGAGCTAACGACTCCTAACGCGCTCCAAGGTGTCGGTGGCGTACTTGAGTCATCTGGAAAGTGCATGCGTCGAACGACCCGGTGGTTGAACGTGATCCAACGCATGCAACCCTGAGATTTGTCTGTTGTTGTCGACGCAGCTGCCTTGAAGTGTCGACAAGGGACACGCGCGTAGGTGGTACATTTGTCACTTAACGTTTGTCCTGGAAGCTCGTCATGTCTACTCAGGCGCTCAATTGTGCGTTGAGAGTGTTTATCGCAGAGGAAACTGGTTAACGCTTTGTTTGTCGTCGTTGTAAACCAGCGAATTGTGGACAGGGAGAAATGAGGATTGGCAGACGAAGCTTACGGTCATTCGTCCGTGGCCGTAATCGCTTTGATTCACACATGACACACGCCTGTCCAGTCCCATTAGGAAACGCACAGAGCCCTATGTCTGGCAGCTGCATTGATCAGGTGTCCCAGATAGTTGCTACCACGTCGTAGGGCGCAGACGCTATCTAGCGTCGCAGCAAGCGTCATGCTCGCGTAGGTCTATGAATGAAAAGAGACGACGATGATGGTACAAGGGAGCGGACGGAGAGGGTGACGACGACGACTGACGACGGCGAGCGGACGAATTGGCACCTTTGTACTTAGGGTGGTAAAGGCTAGAAAGTACTAACACAATTGATGATACCATTGGAATCAACAGACTGGATACACATGCTGCCGCTTATCGCAGCTAGGATTCAGGATCCCATCTGATCTGCTCTGCGATAGCACCACCGACGACTGCCTGCATTCGTACCGGGCAGTCAGGAAAGGCGCGGCCACGTCCAGCAGAAGCGTCGCAGGCGCAGGACGACAAGCGTCTGGCCTCGAAATGCTTGGGGCATCGTAGCTGCTAGGGCCGACTTTATTTGGCGCGTGGTGCAAACTATTTCGGCGTGTTCCTTGTGATCGTCGCCAGACAAGTTGTCGTCGACGTGTCGACGCTAGGTGCCATTGCTTCCGATGTCTTCGAAGCAATGCGGCTCCGGTATCGGCTCAGGGACGATTACTGTGCAAAGCTCGACTCGCTCTATTTCGAATTGAGTCTGGTAGTAACGACAGCTGTGACGTGCACGGGCCCGCTCTATTCAACACGCTCGCCATATTAAATGGTGTGTTCTTTCACCTTCGTTCGCGGCCGCAGGCGTCTATACACGATGTTTGTAAACAAGTCCATCATGCAAGAGAGAGGGAACGAGTGCGAGTTCCGAGCCGCGCGCATAATGCAAACAGTCTGATCCTGGTGTTCTCAATGCAGTGCATGCACAGCCGCTTTGCAAGTAACACGCGCTTATGAAGCGATGCGGGTTCGACCAAGCGCGTCAAGTGTCGACAACCAACGGTCGTAATCAGATCCTCGAGCCCAAAAGCCTTCGTAGACTCTTGCTTGATTGTTTTTTTGCGCGTTGCGAGCTCCAAATCTTACGATCCGCTTTCCGCTTCTCCCGTCGTGATTATTTCCGCGGCATTGTCGAGCAGTTGTCAACGACAAGGCTCTCTCAACGCCACGTGATACCGAACAGAATCGTCTCATTTGTCCACAAGCTAGCTAGTTCTCGCTCTCCCTCACTCGCTCACTCACTCACTGACTCACTCACTCAGAGAAAATCATGAACTGCTTTCGTCCTACACCCAGCCCACTGGGCGACAACCTCGTGGGTCTCGTGCATCCCCGTGCCCCTGCAGGCCGCCTGTGCACTGGAGTTGTAGACATGACGACATCAAGTCTATACTACCCGTTGCCACACACCGATAACTATTCGCCCATTTCGTATGTCGACGACTTCGGAGCCAAAAGGGAAGCGTCTCGTGCACTGCTCTATCTCACGAGCACGAAAACCGACGGACTGACGCAGTTACGCTTCGCCAGAAAGCCGTCTCCAACGTCAAGCGCAGTCGCAGACAAAAGCTTGGACCAAGACACGGACCCTTACCACCGCAAACGCGCTGAGGTGCACGAAGCCCGTCGACGGGAGCAATGTCGAGCAAACCAAGCTCGCTACCGTGACAAGCAGAGACACGCCCAGCTGGCGCTCGAGACGAGTGTTGGGCAACTGAACCAGGAGCTCGTCACTTTGAAGCGAAAGTTTCGCGACGTGTCGTCTCGCAAGAGGAGTAACCAGACTCCGTGGTCGATCACGGTCGAGGTCTTTCGACTGATCGAAGCTAGTTTCTGCTCGCCATGGCGGATGACCAGCACTCAAGAGATGAAAAGACACGCAGAGACGCGGTACACCATGACGGTGTTGGAGCAAGCGTTTGCACACGACGCGGCCATGGGGGACTTGCAAGGGGTCGACACGTTGCTCGAGCAGCTCCGATTGTACTCGCAGTACTTTGGCACGCCAAGTCTGCAGCTGCAACGGATCGAATCCGTGACTCCTATTGTACTGGCTGCTCAAGCGACACTCAGCATGACAGTGACTGAGTTCACGTTACGCCACATGTTCCCGCACGTGATGGACCTGTCGAGTCAAGACCACGGAAAAGACGGTGACGAGCTGCTGTACCAGCGTCTTTTGGACCAGCGTCTCGAATGTAACTGCTCGATGACGTTCTTCTTCGACGAGGACCGTGACCGCGTAGTGCGAGTATCAATCGATATCGAGTTGATACCGGCGCTGCTTCGTGTGTTGGGAAGCCTCTCGGACGTGGCTGAAGTGCTTGAGCATGCGAAGATTTCGCTGGAAAGCGTCGTCGGCGATGTCGACGGTGACAGTGCAGCAAGCGAAACCCGCTCGCACACCTGGTCCGTATCATAGACCGTTCCGAGATGATGCTTTGAACCGCGAGCAATCACGATTACAACAAGTCTCACCGTAACGAAGCAATCCAGCGCGTGTCTACTGACGTAGGTGGATAGTCCCGCTAGACGGACCTTGCACTGCATCGGCGCTACGCAATGCCTATCAGCGATCAAGTGAGGAGGCTGAACACAGTGATCGAATTCGTTTTCCTCTCGTCTGCGCGTAAGTCCCTACTGACGTAGATCTGCGAAAGCGCTCAAAGTAGACAGCAGAAAGTAGGTAGACCGAGAACAATGCACTCGCTGTTTCTCGTTTGATCGTCACATCGTTGTATGTGATAGCAGAGCATTACACACGAGCATATCGCATTGTACATCTGGGATATGAAACGGCTGTATCCCAGCTCTTCGCCACGTCACCCTCCGTGGGGATGCGGTTCGATCGGGAACACGTTCGTTGTGTTTTATCTGTATTGTCTAAACTTTGGACAGGCCGGTTAGCTCGCTGGACTTTATGTGATGGCCACGGTGGGGAAGACAGACGAGTTGGGCCATGACATGGACACGCTTTGTTGGACAGAAGATACACTTTTGGCTGATGAAAGCAGTTGATCAGTCAATGTTGAAGCAGACGGAGAGGGAGGTCAGTGGAGTGTCGTGGGCTGCAGATCGCGTTGCTCATTCCAACTGTCCATTGAAAAAGAACGGCCGATTGTATGCTATCTGTAACCTGTGTGTGCTATCCACGCAAAGGTCAAGACTGAGATTTGCTCACTAGTCTAAGTCAAAGCTATGTGCGCGTCATTCATACGCTCGCTTCACAGACACTGGGAGTGTTACAGGCTCCGACATACCTTGACTGTAAAATGCTCGGAGCGTCACTCTTCGACTTCATGTTCGTCTTGGTGAGGTAATATGCACTGGAAGAACACGACATGATGAAAGTCTACATGCCGCCTTTGACGCTTGACGAAGGAAACGGAAAGTGTTGATACGAGAACCTAAAAACGGAACAGACAAAGTGTAGTTTTCAGTGCGTTCGCGGAGGAGTCTGCCGAAATGATTGCAAGTCAAAGAAAGAAAGTAGAAGCGGAGACCTGCAAGCTCTGGCACTGGTTGTGCTTATGATTGTGGCTGGCACGGAACGTTGCGGGGTACAGAAGCTGAATCCGTTGATCGGTTGACAGCGGCTTACAAAAAGTGGATCAGCAACAACAACAACAACAACAACGACGACGTGGGACGCGGATGACATGGAAGGAACAGGCTCAGCATAGACTTCCACTGCAATCATCGAGACAGAGGTAATGTCTCGTTCGTTCTTTTGTATGGCCGTTCTGTCTTCTTTAGGTTCGTGCACTCATTCTGTGTTCTATCTACATCGAAACTCAAGTCTTCTGCCTCTACATTCATCGCTGCGACTACATCTTGCAAGCCTCAAGTAAAGCTGACAACAACAGCGAACAGAGCACTTGACATGTGCACTTTGAGGTGAAAATGTGTCGACCGTAACGGTCATCAGTAGGACAAGATCGTCAGCGCAGATAGAGAAACCAACAAACGGATGGAAAGGCTTTGTCCATGAACCGCTTCACTAGTCCGTGCAACGCATTTGTCGTGCCTTTTGCAGGTGAGGATGAGCAATAGCAGCGTCACGTTCGCCTGACCTCCTACACTTGCCCTTTCCATTGCGTGCCGCTTGATGCTCGATACTGACAGCGCTCTAGGCAGAGGTCGCGCTTGCTTTGCGCCGAGACAGAGCCCCTGGCGTTCTCCACTTTGATCGATTCTGTGTTCTATCGTTTCTTATGCCGATATCCTGCCAAGACATTGCGTCCCACGCACGTGACGCCAACATCATTCCTACTCCTTGCTCCGCTGTATGACATTGGGCGCGGCGTGACCGGACATTGCTGTTGCCTTTAACGCGCACGAGCACGACCAATACGCACAGTTGCCCTAAAGCAAGGAGATTACTTTGTGAGGTTGCGTGGCTTCATCATGCTTCTTGCATAGCGTGTAAGATAACCTGGCTTCTGGAGCTTCGCTCACTACGTGCCAGTATGCCCGACGCAGCTTCCGATACAAAGTCGACGGGGCCTCCACAGCAACGTGTCAGTGACTGCCCGGGTGTTATGCTAATAACCTTTTGCTCACTAGCTCCTGCCACACATGGTACACGCGCGTCTGCCAAAGATATCCATTCGTCCAGTATACACTGATGTACAAGTCTACTAGGTCCATAGCGTTGACTAGCGGATTCGTGACGTTGTGGTGCAGCGATAACTACTCTTCCTTCCTATAACAAAGCTGTTGTGGAAATGCACAGTATCGTGCCGTCCTGTGTGCATGTTTACCTCCTTCTGCATCCCCTCTTCGACAAACAGTGATGTTGCATACTGCCGTCGTAGCTCTACACTGGCTATTCGCTTGGCCTCGATATCGGTATGTCTTTACTTGGGGCACGTCGTTGACGACGGAAACATCAGTTCAAGATAAGCAGTATCGACACGCATGTGTTGAGCGACGTGGCCAACTGCGAGCAACGTGAAGGTGCTTGTGTTCTCGTATTCATTTGTACGAAACAACGGCGACCGGAGTGCTCACGCACGTCCAGATTTGACAGCTACAAGGGTGATCTAATATGTGCGTGTGCACCAGCTTGTTGTCCACAAAGTTCCGTGTATGATGCTTCGTCAGACACTATCGAAAGATTGTCACTACAACAGCAGCAGCAGCAGTCTCCCACACAGTGTGCGTGTGTCTGCAGTATTATTGACGAAGTCGGGCGGACGTTCTTGGCCGAGAGCAGGTGCAACTTCTCGATAGCAACCGCTCTCAAATATGTGCCTTTTACACACGTCAATGACCAATATGGTGGACACGATCTCCTGTTACAGCGCACAAGGTCAGCAACGTTAGTCCGTCACAATGCGTTACCGTGCTTTACTGGGGTTCTTGATCGTGCGGAATGAACGCGTCTCTTGTGCACTCGTTGCACTACACGATGCGAAGAGCGAGCGACTCGTTGTGCTTATGGTGTCACATCACCAGAAAACAGCAAGAACGCAAGCTGTCATGCTGAAGCCACTGTCAAGTTCCGATTGGTCTTGTTGGCAGTCTCAAGCTCTATTTGCCAATGTAATGGCTGACAAACATCAAGCGGGTAAAGGTCTCTACGGCATCAAGCAGGTAACAACTACTCAGATATCGTTCAGGCATCAAGCGCGCAAGCAGCAATGGACCAGCTACACTGAATGCCGCATCGCCTGCATGGTCCAGAAAGTTACTCGAGTCTCATCGTAGAACAGGACGCTTTGATCCATTGGCTACATCTACGGTGCTATCACGCGCGTGTACGTGACTCACAAAGTATCAGCGATCAAATTGCAACTACAGGAGTCGTCTGCTCAGGGCAAGTGGAACAAGTGCAAGCGCCAGCAGGAGAGACAGCAACCACAGTTTTCAATTACAAAGAAGGCGTATGCCTTTGCAACAAGTACACCAGATCGGAGCTGGTTGTGTCCAGCTTCAGTGTATCACGACGGCGCCTATGGTAAGTACAATGGCTACACTTTCGTCTCGGTCTCGTGAGCGACAACGACACGCGACTGTGGTCGACAGGATGGCCACTGTACCCATTTTGATCGGGCGTTGTGACCCTTTCACTTCACTACTAAGTGCCCTCTTTCAGCAAAACGGATCGCTTCAAGTTTTAGGGCCTCTAGAATTGGTGCCAGGCACCCAAAGTCGTTCCAGAAATCGATTTGCGCGAGACCAAAAAACCGCCATGACAGACTCAAAGGTGCGCGTGGTGATGCAGACACACACGTCCATAGCTCTCGTTCTCGCGCGAGGTGCCACCGCCTCCATCTGCTATGCCAACTGACACTGTGCAATCGATCGTATCTGCTCCTCTAGACGCTCGATCAGGTCGAGACAGACCTCAACGTACGCTCGAAAACACCGTTATCGTCGACCAGAGCGGGACAAGCGCCTCCCACCTGCCACGTCCAGTCGTTTGACTGCCTCTGTCGATCGTTTGTTCTATCCACAGGACGTTTTGCACCGCATGGACATTGTCGAGCAACGACTGGCTGCTGATGCCAAGCGCGAAGACGGTCCGGTAGGTCCCGCCGATCTAGGCGCGTATCAGAGACAGCTGCTGCTCAAGCTCCGCTCGATTCGAGGTACGCAAAGCTCTGCGCACATGGCATTACTACTGCCTTTTGTTCAGAGATCAATTCCCAGGGATCGATGCGACACAGTGGGGCTAAACTAGACGTGTTCACGTGTGACGTATACTGTGGTTGCGACTCCTAGACACAATGCAAAAGGAAGAGTCGTGTCTCGAGCAGCTGCGTCAAGAACGGGACGACGCTCGGCGTGAGCGCGATGCCCTGCAGACGCAGGTGGCGAAACTCCAGTATCGCGTGCACCACCTCAAGCAGCACGTGCTACCGTAACAAGTGGGGACAATACAACGAGGACAGGCTCTCTTTTTTGGTTTTCATGCCCGCTCTTGCTCCCCCAAAAAAGACCCCCCGCCCCCGCCGTTTCATTGCCCATTTCCCGTCCTCGTCGAGGAAAACGCCCAATTCACCCCAAAGCGAAACCGGTAGAAAAACCGGTGAGCGCACCTTCGACTTGGCCGTGCAATGGCTACGACCAGCGCAGCCGAGCCGGACGACCCCGTTGTTGCAGCAGCAGCAGCAGTGACCGCGCCCGAGAGCAGTGCGGCCGTCGAGGCTGCGCTAGAAGCCCGTGTGGTGACGCACTGTCGCGCCCATACGACGTCGGCGGCCGCTACTGCTTTGACCGAGGAGCAAGATCTAGTCGCAGCCTTTCTCGCCGCGCCTCGTGGAACCCAACGTGTTTTGGTACAGCGACTTTTAGCCAATGACACGCTGGAAAACTTTTCGTCGCTATTGTCATTTTTGCTGCGCGTCATTATCGCTGCCCATGCGACGTCCCACGACGCGCAGGCCGACGGTAGCGTCGTGTGCAGCGTCCAGTCGCCGCTGCAAGAGTCGGAGGTGATCGGTGACGCGTCCAGCCATACTGCAATCCACTCGGAGCAGTTCGCGAGCTTTTCTGCGTGCGTAGCGACGCATTACGGGAGTGTGAAGCGTCTCAAGTGCGAAGAAGTGTGGCACGGCGACCATATGGCCTACCGCTGTCGTACGTGTGGTCTCTCGGACTCGAGCTGCATGTGTTTAGCGTGTTTCGACCCGGAGCAGCACGAGGGGCACGACTATCGCGTGTACCGCTGTTCTTCTGGTGGCTGTTGTGACTGTGGCGACGCGCTGGCGTGGAAACCGCAGGGCTTTTGCAAGAAACATTGGGCTGGAAACGACGACTCAAGTGGATGCGGGGTCAAGCGCTCGTGGACGATGGACATGGGCGCAGAAGAGCACGCAGTGGTGCAGATGCTGGTCAGGAAAAGCATGGAGTTTTGTGTCGAGACGCTGAGACTAGTGTACGCTGTGTGCTTGAAGCCGCGCGCGAGTGACCGGGCGGCGTCACGCAAGGGACTGCCTCGAACTGGTGTGCTGCGTGCAGCTCTCACGCCACGAGCCAAGGTGTACGTGGACAGAATGCAAGAGACACTGAAGTGGCTGCAAATGTTGTCGATGAGCTGTCTACAGTATCGGGAAATCATATCTGGTATGTTCTTTGAAGAGTTACCAGCGGAGTATCATTTGGACGCCGTTGTTGTGTCTGCTCGAACGGTTGCGAGCACAACCGAGACTTGTTATCGGGAAGAGGAGTCTGAGGAAGGACCGGTCGACACAATGCCAATAAGTGACGAATCGGGGGATGAAAAAGTGGAAGAAGAGGCGATTGTGCATGAACCGCTGCTGATGCTCGATGTGTTTCTCAAAGCAGGAGTGTTGCTTCCGGTCGAGACGTGTGATGTGCTTGGCGTGCTATACCTGAAACTGTTGTTTGACCAATCGTTCAAGCAGATGTACACATGCCACTTTGTGGAGTGGTATCCGTACTTTATTGAGCTTTACTTGGCTGCTAGCGATGCGAACAACGAGGATGGTATGCAAAACCTGTCTCGATTCATTGACCGCCTCTTCTGTCAGCTTTTTCACAGTAACGCGCAATTGCGCGAACTAGAAAGTGTCTTCGCGTCGATGCGGCAAAGTTATAAGGGCGTACACAAAGACCAGAGAAGCCGTGGTCACCGACGACGACGGCGGCGTCACGATCACGCCTATGGCGTCGCTGCCGTAGCAACCGATTTGACGCCGTCATCCTGTGTCGAGTGGTTGATGGTGTTCTTACTGAATAAGCTCAACGATTTGTTTCGAAGTACTCTCCGGACAATGACTGTCCTGCCCCAGCCTTCCATCGGTGGAGGCCCACCTGTCAGTGGCAGCACAAATGGGAGTAGCGCCTCCACTGTGGGCACAGAAAATGAACTAGAGGCTCGGCCAGTTTTATGGACCGTCCATACGGTGGACTGCGGGCGGAGTGTGTACAAGAAACGGATCTACGCTCGATTGTGCTCCGATCTACGAACGTTGTTGGTGCATCCACAGATCGCAGCAGAAGTATTGCTGAGGTCTTTTTGCTGCATTGGTGGAGACGACTGTGCTCTTCACGAGGCATCAGTGTTCGCGCAGCTCATGAAAAGCTTTGAGCTACTTCAGCAAATGGATTTGCAGACTCGTCACGTCCACCGGCATATCGAGTACGAGTCGCAGAACTGGACATATGCTTTTGTGGCAGACTACGAGCTCAAACTGCTGCTTGGCGCTTTTCTTACAGGCGTTCCCGCGTGCTTTTCGCGTGAGGTGTGGCAGACTATTGCGGCAGATGACAGTATGTGGAATCGAAGAGCGATGGGAGTGAGTACGGATAGTGCGAGGTTGAATCCGCTGGAAGTAGCCACTTTCCGACCCGTTGTACTGGCTCGAGCGATTTTACAGCCTGTACGGGCAGCGTTGGTGCAGTGGGTTCACTGCAACGGAGTACCCGAATTCAAACCAGAAACAGCAGAGTCTCATGCTCCGTCCGCTAGTCATGGTGAAACAGCGACAGCGACAGCGACGGAGGTGACCGCTCAGCTTGTGAAATACTACGAGGAGGGAACAGTAGCTTTGTACGGCGCTAGCGCAAAGAGTTTTCACTTTCCGCTCAACCAGATGTACGCAGCGCTAATTCACGCTCTATGCGGTGTGGTGCGTCCTCAGACGTTGGACGATTGGCGCGAGTTGCTCGGCATGGGATGTACAGATACGGCAAAACAAAAGGACTTGGCGTTTTGGTATAGCGCGCTGGATCACCCGCTCCGTGTGCTGCTTTTTTCGAGAGAAATCAAAGCGGGTCTTTGGACGCGAAATGGTGGCGTGATGCTGCAGCAGTTGGTTCATTATCATTCGAAACACTGGCGGTTCTTCGGTCTGCACTCCGACCTGTTTCTTTGCCAACTGGGGGCTAGTCTACTTCCACACGGAAGCTTTACGCGCCTTTTCTTTCACCAGTTGCCGTTTGGAATCCGCGATTCATCGGTGCTGGGACTTAGCTCGCTGGATATACAAACAGATGCCAGCGTTGCCGCTGCCGATCGCGTTCGTGCGCTTCGCCAGGAGCTAGATATTGTCGAGGAAGCGTTGCGCCTTCTACTTCAGCTTGTGCTCGCGCCCGTCAAGTTGGCGTCTGCAAGCTCACCCGAAACAGCTGCAGTGTGGCTACTTGAGCGCGAGATCATGCATTGGTTGACGCTGGGCTCGTTCACGCGTAGCGAGGTGATCATGCGCACTGATATGAAGTTGGTCGAGCAGATCAAGCAACTTCCAGCGCACGAGTGGGCCGAGCTGGAGGAAGAGGAAATTCTCACGCACGTGTTAGAGAACGTAGGTGTGTATGATGAGCCTGCTGGAAGCAGCAGTGGCTCTCGTACTACCCGAAGTGGCAGTCTACAAGGATATGGACTCAAGATGAGTGTGGTGTGGAAATTGAAGCCTGAGTTGTGGTCTCATGTATCTCCGCAGTTTGAGTGTTTTACGCCATCAGAAGCACAGCAATGCGAACAGAACATCCGCAAGAATCTGCCCAAATCGAATGACCGAGACAACGTCTTGACGACATCAATCGTCCTGCCTACATTGCCACGCCCACGATCCGAAGAAGAGAATTGCGTTGACATGCATTCCGTGATTGCCAAAACGATGTTGAACTCGTCGTACATGGCCAGCGCTTTGTTCGTCATCTTTGAGAACTACAAGCGAAAAACAGTCGCATTGGGCCAACTTGAGCACGGTGGAAGCAAAGATCAGGACAGATCGGGTTCGTGCACCACCGAGAATCTCTTGCTCGCAGCGCTGCATTGTCTATACGTGGCAGTCGAGATGCTCCCCAAAGAGATTCAGGATCATCACCTGGCAGTACCTAGAGTTTGTCACGACACTAGCTGCAAACGGAATCTAGACGACATTGCCAGCTGCTACGATGAAGAGAGCAGTCTATTTGTCAAACTTCGCACCGACATACCCACAGAATCCACGCACCACGGCGTGAACAAAGTAGCGAGTGCAAGTGTGCTGTCGCTGCTGTTCTTTCTTGCTGAGCAAAAAAACGGTGTAGATGACTCGCGTGCTGTGGTGAACCTGATCCTGAGATCAGTACGTGACAAGTCGCCAGCATGTGCGCTGTGTTTGGATGCAACGATGCGCGCAAAACTGGACATCCAAGCTCAAGAACGTGCTAGTGGCTCCCGTCCTGACAGCTCTAGCCGATTCACCAGCGACAACAATATGGATGACAAGCAACCAAAGCCCAATGCAAAAGAGATGATGAGAAGACGGCAGCAGCAAATATTGGAAAAAATGCGGTTGCAGCAGATGCAGTTCCTGTCGTCCAGCAGCAGTGTAGCAGAAGACGGCAATTGTGAGCGTACGGATAATGATACTAAAGACCATGGCATGGAGGTGGACACTGATAGCGACGACTACGACGAAGCAATGGAGTCTGATGATGAAATGGATGAAGACCATGGAGAGGAAGATGAGTGGGGATTCCCGACTGGTCAGCTCAACGTGTCTTTGTATCTGGACCACGTTTCGTCAGCGATCGCTCAGATGAGGGAAAATCATCGAAGATGTCACGGTTGGAGACGGCGACGGAGGCGGAGTACTCGGACATCGTCAATGTCCGTGGAAAACGACCAGGTGGGGCGATCACCTTCCGCGGGTTATGACCACGGCTTAGTTGACGATCATTCGTCTCAGGCTGAAGAGTGTGGTCTCTGCCGCTTGTCGTGTGACCCGCGCTCTCGTGAATCGTCATTTGGTTTCGTGGGTATGATTTTGCCGACGAACATGCTACAGAAAGTTGAACAAGTCTCGCCCCACAGCTCTGGTCAAGACGTCCGTCCTCTAACACCTCCGTGTTTGCCTTCACGCCGCGTGCTAAAACCCGGAACAACTGAGGAGATGCGCATGCAGCTCGCGGATAGTGTGATCTGGAGTTGTGGCCACGCAATCCACCACTCGTGCTTAAAGGCTTATCTTGTGTCGCTGTGGGAACAAAAGCACGGCCGTGGTCCCGTGGAACTGACAAGTGGTGACGATCGCTTGCTCAGCAAGCGTGATATGGAGTTCGTGTGTCCCATTTGTCGCCGGCTTTCCAATTGTCTGGTTCCGTGCGTTTCCTTGGGAGCACTTCGCGAGCAAGCATCAGCTACTGAGTTTGTGAAGACGGGATTCGGATCGGAAGAGGAAGAAGAGGAAAAGCAAGACGACGGACAGGATCCACTGGCGTTCCTTCAGTGGCTGGACACGCAAATGAGTTTTCGCGACGACTCGCCAGTTGTCAAGCGACGCCGTTCGCGGACGCAGTCAAGTTTGCGTTTGAGGCGACGTCTGCTGTCATCTACGCTGAAATCGTCGTTGTCCCCCGAGTCAGTGTCGTCTGCTGGCCGTACTTTGTCTTGCGGCGAGCATGAGTCGCCTCAGCAAGATATGAGCGTCGAGCGCGAGATCAGCGCCTTTTGCCACGAAATTGTGTTGCGTTGCGTGCGCGCTCAGTTGTACCTACCGACGCTTCTGACAAGTTCCATTCGTGATGAAGGCAGCTTGGACTTGGAAATGCAGCAACTAAGCGCCGAGTGCGGTGCGCAGACTCCTGCATGGCAACTGTTGTTGCATTGTTTGGAGGTGCAGTTATGTGTGGTGGCGCGGGAGAAAATGCTGTTGCAGACGGATGCTGTCGACCCGTTGCAGCTCCGGTCGATGCGCCAGCTTGCAGACTTGACAGCAGTTGCAGTAGCCTTTTCTTCACCGAGCTCACTGGCTTGGACAGCGGTCGAAGCGCCAGCTGAGCAGCAATTCGAGAGCATCATGACACGACTGAATGGACTGATATTTGGCCAGCAAGTGCTGTTCGAAGAAGACGACGAGGCATGCCGTGCCGAGTGGAACCGTTTCGGTTCCCTGCAAAGCGGTGACTTGGCGGACACGACGGACGCAGCTTTAGTCGGGACGCCCATACTGTGTCATCCGCGACTACTCACGTGTTTTGCACTGCGGTTGATGTGGAGACAGAGCATTGCGACTCCCAGCGCGGACGTCGCAGCAGAACAGCTGCTCACAGAAGCGTTCTTCTCGGCCCGTGTGTTGTTCACAGCCCAGGTGTTGCAGTCGCTTGCCCATCTCTCGACGCAAGATGACCAGCTATTGTCAACTGATGACGCAGGAGCTGACGAAGAAACGAGTGGCAAGGGTGTTCCGGCGGAGGAGATCCGCGACTTTGATGATGTCGAGTCGCTTCGCGACGCCTCTGCGTGGATTTCGTCGATGCTCGTGCGGTCTCGCTTAGTGGATAGCAAATTGGCTGTGACGTCTCACGCGACTTTGCAACGAAAATGGAATAGCACTGCGATGGAAGAACGAGTGAGCATGCTGTGCTTACCACTCGCGCAGCAGATGCTCCTGCTCATGGACGTCATGTTGCCTGTATCCCACCACCATCACAACGAAAGTCAAGGCTGTGGCGAGTCCATATCGCCGCAAGTTGTCTCCGAGTCGTGTGCCGTGTGTGACGGACTGTTTCCTTCGGCATCGACAGCAACCGGGACTCCTTCGGCGTCTGCGTTGCTCGACAAGTGTCTGCGGAGACTCCACTTGCCCCCTTTGAGACTGTTTTTCCATCAGCAAATGCTCCCGTCAAGTCAGCGCGCGTTATGTCAGCTCTGGGGCGCGCAGCTCGAAGCAAAGGCTGCCGTTTCTCGACAGCAAGCTCGCTCTCGAGTGCTGGTGACTGGCGCTTCTTCTACTCAAGTTGATGCGTTCCCGCTACAGCGGCACGTGGTGCTTCTCTCGTCTCGAGCGACCGCCGCCAGAGCAAAGTACCGCATGTTCGTTCCGTTGCCGCGTCTGTACATGGATCTGTTTATCCGGTACAACGAGAAGCCCACGGGAGTCTGCCACCAGTGCGCTCAGGTGCCTCAGCATCCAGGACTGTGTCTCTTTTGTGGTGAAGTGCTGTGCTGTTTCTCGGCGTGCTGCGAGGCCAAAGAAGGAGGTGGCGTGGGTGAATGTACTCGGCACGCTCAGCAGTGCGGCCTTGGTTTAGGCGCTTTCTTGCTCCTGCGTGCGTGCACCGTGATCCTTTTCTTTGGCAATGAGAGACGCTGCGTATGGGGTAGTCTTTACGTGGACAAGAATGGCGAAGAAGACCCATACCTTCGTCGCGGCAAGACGTTGTACCTCGATCCAAGTCGTCGCTTGGCGCTCGAGACGCTGCTGGTCTCGCACGGCTTCTCGCAGAATACTGCCATTTTGCAAAACACATCGAGACGAGATGGGCGTCGGTATTGAGCTGGTTGAAGTGCGAATACCGCTAGCGGCATTGCGACGGTGATTCTTGGCTTTCGTGACCACTCATTTGGTGAAATGACTCGCGTATGTCATCGACCGATCTGGTGATGAACGGATGCGCTGAAGATGACGTGCGCGACAGCCATGACTTGTGGTCAACAGGATTTGGCAAAGAGCAGAACTCCGGCTGTTCGGTCCAATCTCGCAATATGTGGATGCGGTGCGCTGTGTCCTTCGGCGTAGCTCTGGACGATGAAAACCTCAGTCTGTTTGTCACGGACTCAGGTTTTCATCGTCCAGAGCTATTTCATCGTAAACGCTTGACTCGGTTGTCGTAAGACTAGTGCACGCGAGTTTGTGACGACGGACTGCAATTTATCGACGCAGCTTGGCGGGACTTCATCCAAATGTTGCTGCTCTAGCAGCGTGTGCGAAAGTCGCTCTCCATATTCAGCTGACTGGCACGTTTCCAACGACTCATATGGCCATGTCCGTGTTGCTGCGTTCCTGTTACACTGGCTTTCGTGCTGAAGAGTGGAGATCGCAAGCGGACAGTTTCGACCGCTGTTGAGCGTTACGTCAATCATTTGAACAGTCGACGACGCTGTTCAGTTCGACGAAGTTGAAGTCCGCGTTGTACTCGAAGCTGTCGGTGCGTAGTTGTACGCACATGGCAACGTCACCGACCCTTTTCGCTTGATGAGAAGCACCTACACTGCTATGAGTCAGGACTCGAGTGATCCACGTAGTTACACAATGGAGATCATGCAGCTCACACGTGTATGCGTGCCGGTCCCAGTCGGAGGCTCAACGCGTCTGAGCTTCGGCGGACACTCGAGCTCATGGGACGAGTCCGAGCACTTGTACACCACACTCGTGTCGCGGGTGTTCTAAGCCATCGCACTCGCGGGTGGCCATCTACCAGCCAGTTCTCAGCATCAAACAGCGCTGCTTTAGGCGTGGACTCGGGCAGCGACGCTTCTTGTCTGGCGAGCGATATCATCGGCCAAACATACCACATCAGCGAAACCTGTCAAGTCAACGACTGGGTCTACACACGTGCTCGACAAGAGCAGCATCTTGCCGGTTAGTGCTGTGCTGTCCATTCCTGCATCGGGCGTTGTCACCAAATGGACGCAGTACACTTACCGATCGACGCGGAGGACAACCACGTGTACGAAGAAAGACGGATGCGAGCATTCATGATCACAGTTTGGCCTCAACGTTGCAGTCGGCTGCTCTCACGAAGATCTCGTTCATTCTCGACCTGCACATAATGTCCTGTAGCACCAAACAACAACAAAATAGGCACAAGAAGAAGCGTACAAGTCCAAAACAATACTCGTGTAACACGGCTGCTTCGTTTCCTTACACACCTTTGATGTGCCTAATGACAAAGGATCTTACTCCGCCCAACTTGTCTCCTCCTCAAGTGTGTTGTTGCGCTTGGACATGAGATACTCTGTCGATAGAGGGGCAGATGGCAGAGGCAAGACATCTTCAGTTTCGTCTACAGCGGCGGCAATCGACTCCGGAGCGGCATTGTCGTCCGACTCTGGCTCGAGCTCTGCGCCAGGGGCAATGGCGTTAGACGCAGCTTCGTCTTCCATTGGGCCCTGGCCAAACTCGTTCGTGCGCTTGGCATCCACGGGGTACTTCCAGCGCTGATACAGGTAAATGAAAAAGATCAGATCGTCACGAAAGCAGCTCAGCCGATGCATCCACGGCATCTTGATCACGAAGGCAAACAAATCGTCGATGAACGTGTTCAACGACTTGTACACCATAGCACGCCAAGGCAAGTGCGCCACCGACTTCAGCTTGTAATTAATGTACAGCTGAGGCGTCATCATGATGAACCCAAACGCATACACAAAGCTCGTGAGGCTCGACACCACCCACGAGTACCAGCTCTTGTGTACACCGTACACTAGCGTGTACGCAGCTTGCCCGACAATCAGTGGCCACAGAATATACGACAAATGAGCTACAGCCACACGATCATGCTCAGCAGTAGGTGAGTTCTCGTAGCTCTTGGCGCCCGACACAACGAGTTTGTTGTCGGCATCGCGCGAAAACACGAGCGCCTTTTTGATCTTCCACGCTTCAATGATAAGGCCGATCCCCGACTGCACGAGGATGAGCCACGACGTGTCATTGTCCATCAAGTACAGAAAGATCACGAGCTGGAAGAACGTGCTCAAGCCGATGCTCCGCAGCGACAGTCCTGCGAGCGACTTCTGATTCTTCCAGAAACTCACGTCGTTCTTGAACGCGAGGAAATCAAACAACGAGTGCAGCAGCGACACAATCATCGTCACTGCCAGCAGGTACGGATTCGTGTCCATAAACATGCTCTTCATGTTGTCCGTGTCACGTCTCGACGACGTGCCACTGGCCTCTTGATTGCGAAAGTTCTGCTCCATCTGCGTATACAGCGCGTACTTGTACACGGGCAGCGGGTAGAACGACAGCTCGAGCGGTAGCGTCTTCACCGTGTCGTTCACCACGATCAAGTGCTCGTCCAGCAGCCAAAACTCGTTCAGAAACAGCACCGGCGAGTACAGTCCAGCGGCCTCGTCGACGTTCATTGCGGTCGCCAGAAACGGCTGCGGCGGCTGGCGCGTCGAGTACGTCGTGTGGTCCAACACGACGTTGATCGCGAACGACGGCTTCCACATGGACACGTACACGTCCGCGTCACGCGGCAACTGCTGCGTCTCCTCTTCTTCTTCTTCTTCTTCTTCTTCTTCTTGTGGCCGCGCCCCAAGCAAGTGGCGCTTTTCGATCGTCTTGGGCGGTGGCCGGAACACTGTGAGCGCAATCGTGCGGTGGACGCAGCTCATGACGTCGTACGTCCCGTCTGCAGGGTTGGGGGAATGGTCGTCCTTGGTCAAGAAGACGTGCGCGTAGAGCGAGCCGTTGGCCAACAAGTGCTCGTCGACGGTGACGTTCATGCGGTGCACCCACATGCCGTCCGCGCGCTGTGGATTGGGCCTCGCGTCGTACGTGAGCGCGTTTTCCATCCATCGCAGCGTCTCTTGCTCGCGCGCGACCGCAACGTCGCTGTGGCCTCCAGCGGCAAAGGAAAAGTGAGCGTCTCGAGTGACATACACTCTCAAGTTCAGTGGATCGCCCAAGTGAAACGAGTTGCTAAGGAGTTGCACATGAGAGGGGCCACTATTGGGGTTGTCCGCATTCTGAACGATTGTCGTGTCGTGGACGGTGGGGCGCTGCTGCTGCTGCTGCTGATGATGATGTGGGACAAACAGGTTCATGACGGACGTAATGGCGTAGTAGATGCACACCATGCGCAGCACAGGCCACACTCGTTGCATGAGACTCTCAGGCGCAGGCGTCGCGGCTGCAGCCCCCAGCGCGGGGGAAGACGCGGTCATGATGTAAATGCGGTCTGGATTGGATACAAAAACTATCCAGCGAGATTATCTGAACAGCAGCGATAATCGCGTGGACGACCATGAGCGCGTGCGATTGGTTAAAACGATATCCGACGTAGATCAAGCGTGCATTCAATACTTCGACTTGCTGGGAGGACGTTTTCACAATACCATCTGTCCCTGACGCGATATAAAAAGGCTCATCTCTGACGTCCGACCAAGAGAGCAACGGGAAGCGCTACCTCCCACACGACGCAGTCGCACCACCAATACCAATACCTGTATCACCACGACGGAAGAACGGGCGCGACACACGGCCTCTAGCGCCCACCACCGAGTCGCCAAATCTAAATCAAAAGTGACTACTTGCTCGCGCGCTTGTTTTGTACAGGTCCTTTCTTTGTCCACGCCAGACTGTCTGCCTCCCATTTGCCAGCTCGCAAACGGCACACACGCGGAATGTCTCGGGCCGTCGCACTTCTCACTATTGCTGCAGGCTGCGGGATCAAATCCACACGCCTTCGTCTTCTTCCTCCTCCTCCTCCTCCTCCTCTTCGTCATCGTCATGTTCTCCCTCCTCCGAGTTCGAGTCGGAATCCGAGTCCGAGTCGTCTTGCGGGTGCAGACGGTCCACCATGGACATGCGCTCGTCCGCCTGACTCGTTAGTTTCTTAAATAAACTAATCTGCTCGTCGCTCAAGCCGTCAGTCGTCTCCTCATCGTCGTCGTCCCCGGACATGCTGATCGACATGCGCGCACGCTCAATGACACTGTGGGCCTCGTCCAGCTGCCGTGCGAGCGCAAAGTTCTTCTCCTCCACCTCCCGGAGCACGTCTTCTTCATCGTCCATGTGCATCTGATCCTCTGCCTCTTCATCTGAGTTCACATCTCCATAGTCATTGCCACCGGACGAAGACGCGGTGGCATCTGCAGCCGCACACGACGAACTAGCGGCTTCCATCGCGACGGTCTCAGCTGCTTCTGCTTCCTCCTCTTCTGTCCCTCCAGCTTCCCCTCCGGCCTCATCTTCCGCTGCGGCAACAGGAGACAACGCAGGTTCGGGCGAAAGGGGTGGCAACACGGAGACGGGCACTTGAGACGGCACACTTGGCGCTGCGCTAACGGAGCGACTGAACGTCAGCGGCGAACCGATCTGCATTGACGACGACAGCTTGGATTTGGTGGTATCGTCATCGCCATTTCTAAGCTCAGCCTCCGAACCGACGAGCAGGCTGCTCATAGACGAAAACGACGTGATACCCGGATGCAAACCTTCGCCGGACGTCTCGGCCATCGTGCGTGCACGCTGGGCACTCAGCTTCTTGGCCAGTCCAAGGTTGCCCTCCGCACGAGCGCGTTCTTCTTCTTCAAGGAGCGCCTGAGCAAGCTCTTCTAGACCGCGACGCTCTCGCCGTGAGCGCTCCGCATTGGTCTTGTGCAACTGTCGCTCAGGCACAACCGATCCTGACCGGCGAAGCTCCTTAATCTCCATGAGCTTACGTTCTGCTTCCACACGTGCCTTTTGCTCTTCAGCTTCACGGTCTTCGGCGACCACGCAACTTGTAGGCCGTGGTGGTGCATCGTGCACGGACACAGATGGTGAATCAGTCGATTGCTCAACCCGTTCGGCCCCTGACGCATCAGCTGGAGAAGATCCAGACATGTTTAGGAATTTGTCCCAGCAGTCTTTGCAGTAATACTCGCCGTCGTCGTCCAGATCTAGCTTGGACTCATTCTCGGTAGTACCGCACTCGGCACAGAACTTCACGGTTGGCACAATCACCGGAATGCTCATCACACTGTGCAAGTCGTCCATAATCTTCTGTACATCTTTATCCTCTTCAACCACGGGAGGAACGATATCCACATCGCCATAAGAGTCGCGCTTGAAACCCGAGATCACACCTGCCAACTCGCTGATCACATTGTTCTGGCGTTTCACCACTTCTTCTGGCTTGTGCCGCACTGCCAACGCAAGTACACGCTCACGTGACTGTGCCTCCAAAATCTCTTCGTACTTCTTCGCCTGACTCTTCACTTTTTCAAGGGCTTCTTGGAGCACCCTAGCCTCCTGCTCTGCGCGCGACAGCGCTTCCTTCGCAGGCGTGATGCGCTCAACCTTCGCTTGGTTTGAAATACAAAGCTTCGCCTGAACGCGAAGTAAATGCGCTTCCTTCGAGCCATCCTCGATGGCAGTGATAGGAATGCCAGCAAAAATAGCATGATCCAAGTCCGAGCCTTGAGACGCTGCTACCAACTCACGTGCTACATTCAATGGAATGCGCTTTTTTCGCTTCTGTCGCTCATGATCGGAGCGCCCACGTTCACGGCCAGGGCGGTCACGGCTGGAGCGGTCACGGTCAGAGCGTTCGTGTTCAGGGCGCAAAGGTCTGACCATTGGCAATGCGTCAGCAGATCTGCGAGGAGCAGGCACGTCGTCGTATAACGGCACATGTTGGCGACTCGCAACACTCGTCACTTCCCGCTCTGTGCTCGGGTTCGAGCGGACCGAACAGACCGATGCTACAGACATCATCGACTCGCGCCGGGTCTTTCCAGGGCGAAAGCGAAGCACCGCTGGCTTCGGCGAGTGTTTCAGCATCCGCAGCGTGTCCTGGTAAGTCTCTCCTTCCACGTGCGTGCCATTGACCGACACAAGTTCATCACCTACTTGTGCGTTCTGAAGGCCACTCGCATGTCCTTTTCCCGTCAGCTTACTAAGCACTGGAATGTCCCGATGTCCCGGCTTGAGCTTCAGACCTAGATCGCCTTCCCGCCACACAATATCGTACGAGCCAATGTCACTGGGAATGCCACCGCTCACGCTACGACTCCCTCCCGACGACTCGAGCGCCGATTTCTTGCGTGATATGCGCCTTCCCATACGCTTAAACTTGAGCACTGCCGGCTTGCGAATCGTCTTGAGCAGCGAGATCGTGCTGCGAAAGCCCAGCGACTTTGTCTCTTGGCCGTTCACGGCCACTAAGACATCACCCACCGTCGCCCGTTCCATGCCTGTGCCCGCTCCTTTGCCTGTAATTTTACGGATACAAGGCACATGACAGTCGTCGTCATCCGGACGGAGAATCATCCCCAATGGACCTTCTGTCCACACCACTGTATATTGCTCCCGTCGACGAGACGACGTTGACGCGCTCACCCTGGACGGCGACTTGCCGGAATCCGACCACGATGTGCCCGTCGAATCGCGACTTTGACGCGAAGAGCTCCGTGACGAGTCACGGTACACACCTGCGCTGCCTGTGATGGCCCGTGGCACACGGAACCGCAGCGTGGCGGGCCGCGGGATCTTCTGCAGCGTCTTGACCACAAAATCATAGCCCTGACGGGCCGTATCCATGCCGTTGATGCTCACGAGCATGTGGCCTACGGCAACTTTGGCCATGGCAGCGGCCGAGTCCTGACGCGTGATCCGACCCACGACAGGCGGCATGTCCTCTCCCAGATCGGGACGGAGGGTCAGACCCAACGGGCCGTCGCCCCACATGACTTCGTACTCCATAAACAACCGACCGACCGACCGCTTTTCAGCGCTTGGAACTGAGGCGGTCGTGTCTTGAGGGGCCTAAATGTCGCAGCAAACGCGCTACGAGCGTGGGGGCGCAAACGTGAGTACACACGCAGGACGACCACTGGCGTCGCTTGAGGATCAGACGTACGTGTGTGGATGTCAGCGGCTGCTCGGACCGCACCGCTCGTCTCGTTCTTCGTCTCGGCGGCACTCGCCTTCCGCTCGGCGCAAAATGGACGTCGTCCCTGCTTCCGAAGCGCGAAAAAAACCTCACAAGTGGGGGGGTTAGTGTTGCTGGGAGGCACACGATTGGCTGAAAGTTCGTTCTCGATCCCGTTCGACCAATCACATGGACCGCTCGATGACGCGCCACGCCGGACATGTTGCAACACCTGAAAAGCCAGCCCCTTACTGGCCCTGCTAGGGGTACTACGACGAGTTAGCGAGCGAACGAGCTCGGAGGTTCTACTGCCGGCAGTTGCCAATTACTGCGGCAGAACGACCAGTGGCGAGCGAAACACATGCGATTTATGCGCGCAGTATACGTACTGGAGCCACAGGCGTAACGCAATGCGTTTCACACCTTGCGGCAACGTATGGCATGCCCACTCTCTCTTGGCCGCAGAGACACGAGCAGGCCATGTGTTGGTGGTGTTACGCTGACTAGCTTAGCTATGGGCTCTGTTAACGGCGTTGGAGGTGTCTCCTCAGTCGGTCCGACTTGTCCACTCTGCGCGTCGGACGACGAGCAGCGTCGACTACAGTCGAGCAAAAGTGCCGTCGAACGCATTCGCTTCGGCGAGAACATTCGTGGCGTCTCGAGACTCTGTCCGGCTCGTCGTGCGCTCGTCACATGCTCTCCCGCTACGACTGACGTGGTGCTAGTGGGCGTCACGCGACTGAGATGAAGCTGCCCCCCTGACTCACAATCCTCGTCGAGCTCGGTCGGTGTTACTACATTCTCGACTTTTAACGCGAAGGTCGGCCGCGGTCTGACCTTTTCGCCACAAACAGCAGCTACCTGTCGCGTGGCAGTTCCGTGCACTTCTCGCACCGTGGCCGAGCCAGCGAGAGTGGTCAGAACTCACTCGACAGTGTAGGAAGAGACCGAGTCACCGTTTGTCCAGTAAGGACGTGTCGGGTCCCGGTACAGTAAGAGCCTGACATACATGCCCGTGGTCTCCAGTCGGTGGTGCTGTTCGTAGACACGATTCGATTTGTGCTAACACTCCTATCACTCGTGTCTGCAGAGCCAGTGCGCGAACTGGCCTCCATGTGAGCGGAGCTTTCCAACGCACGTGCCACTGTGACAGTGCCCTCCCTCAACGACTGCCTCTCTCTCTACTGCCGATGATCCTCGCAATCAAGTCGCCTACGCCTGGTGGTGGTGTCTCGGGGCAGCTTCAGCGTTGCGTATCGCATACGGCGCTTTGAGTCACACACACACACACACACACACACACCACTCTTTGCCGTTGCCACATCCCCTCGTCTCTTTCTACACATCCCCTCGTCCCCTCGTCCCCTTTTCCTCTTTCTTTTTCTCCAATCAAATGTCCACCCACTGCTCCTCGCTCCGACTCGCCGCAGTTTGCAGCCCCCTCGTGTCGCTATTTCAGTGCGTTCGCAAGCACTGTCCCTGCGCCCTTTCGGTCATCGACGCGGTGTACCACACCACCCATTGACGTGGTCCACACAAACCTCCCCCACCCCGCCTCCCAACGATCATTAGCCAGACTGAAAAGCTACGTGGCGCGCGCGTGTGTGCCCCCCCACGATGACGGTCCTTCGCAGCCACCAGACGCTGCTACTGCTCTGCTTGCTCGTGGCTCAGCTCGGCCGCCACGTTGCAGCCGAGCGCATGCACGACGTGTCGTTCAAGCCGCCGTTTGAGCTCATGGACGACGACAAGCGGCGCATTGTCAACACCACGTGGTCGCAGGGCGGCAATACGGACGTGAAGAAGCACTTTGTTCGTCTCACGACCGACCGTCAGAGCAAACGCGGCCACTTGTGGCAAAACGCGCCCGTGGGTCGGGACGAGTTGTCGGCCATCCTGACGTTCCGCATCTCGGGGCAAGGCAAGCGCTGGTTTGGCGACGGTATTGGGCTCTGGATGACCGACCAAGCGGTGTTCGCGCCCGGGGTGAACCACGGGTTTACCGACAAGTATACCGGTATTGGCATCGTGATTGACACGTTTGTCAACTCGGAGCACACGGGCGGCCACAAGGACATTAGTGTCTTTGTGAACGATGGCACGAAGAGCTACGACCAAATGTACGACGAGACGCGCGTCGGGTGCAATGCTGACGTGCGTTACCACGAACAGAGCGCGAACTTTAACCCGGCGCACAGCATTTCGCGGGTCAAGGTACGGATCGACAAGACCCGGTTGATTGTCGAGGTCGATGAGCACTCTTCGGGTGTATGGGTAGCGTGTCACGAGATGACGCTGTCGTCACTCCGAGCGGACTGGCTGAAAACATCGACGATCGGCATCACGGCGTCTACGGGCGCACTAGCTGACAATCACGATGTCATTCGCTTTGACGCGTACTCGGATTTCCAGGACGCGACGATTGGAGAAGTGGACTCGGAGGCGGTCATGAACTCGATGTCGAAGGAATACAAGAACTGGATCGACTCGCCCCACTGTGACACGGACTGTCTCATTTCGATTCTGCGGAAGGAGATGTCGAACTTTCGCATTGACGCGGAGCACCGGTTCTCGGATCTGAAAGAGAAGACGGAGAACACAGTCGCGAAGCTCAAGAAGCAAGAGAGCGAGAACGAACGCCGTGTGCGCGAGATCGAGGTCAGGGTACGCAATGGCATTGACAAGTCGCTGGATTTCACGAAGCGAGTACTTGGGGACGAGGTGCAGAACAAGATTGCGAAACAGTTGGAAGAGAACCCGGACATTGCCAGTGGCGGCTGGAAAACGCCCTTCGCGCTGCTGTTCATCGGCTTGGCAGCTGGGGCTGCGTACCTGTACCGCAAGTACCAGTCCCTCATGAAGTCCCACTTGCTGTAGCCGCATCGGTGCGACCGGCGTGGTCGACTCGTGTGTCTTCTTGCGACTGCTGACAGTGTATGACGAAGCCTAGTAACGTTCTATACACTCGCTGCACATGTGCCGTCTTCTCTGCCCGTCTGCCTACATGATGTCCCCACCCGTCTTTGCCTCTCGTGTTTGCCATGAGTTATGGAGTGGTCCACATGTTCTGGATCGCGACCCCTCCCTCTGATAACCGGTATGCATTTCCAAGGGACCAATCGCGACCCACGTGGCGCTTCACGCCGCTCCGACCCGTAGCTCCTCAGTCGATTAGTGAGGAAAAGAGTGCGATCGATCCACGACAAGGAGTCGACCACTGCTGCTGCCGTCGCACCCCTTGTGTTTTCTACGATGCTCCGTCTGGTCGTGACGCTGCTGTCCGCTGCGGCCCTGAGCTCGCTCGTCCCGTGGGTGTCGGCCTCGCTGCTGCCCGCGCTGACCTTTGAACAGCCGTTTGAGGTGGTCAACGCGGACGGCAAACGTGAGATCGCGGACACGTTTGTCTACGGCGGTGCCACAGAGGTGAAGAAGAACTTTATCCGCCTCACGACGGACCGCCAGAGCAAGCGCGGCCACATCTGGAGCAAGGGCTCGATTGACAAGGACGAGCTGGCCACGGTCATTGCGTACCGCATCCACGGTCAGGGCAAAAAGTGGTTTGGCGACGGCATTGGCCTCTGGTTCACGCAGGAACCCGAGTGGAAAAACGGCGACAATCACGGCTTTACCGACAAGTTCTACGGCTTTGGCATCATTCTGGACACGTTTCGCAACGTCGAGCACCGCGGCGGCCACAAGGACGTGGCGATTCAGGTGAACGACGGCCAGAAGGTCTTGGACGACTTTAACGACGAGGACAAGATTGGCTGCGACGCTGCGTTTCGCTACCACTCGAACAGCGCCAGCTTTGACCCGGTGTACAGCTCGTCGCGCATCCGCGTGAAAATCAAGGGCAAGTCGCTTGAGGTGGAGGTCGACGCGAACAACTCGGGTGCCTGGGCAGAGTGTTACAAAGGCGACTTGCCGTTTTCGGACGACTGGCTGCGTCGCGCGACGATCGGTATCACGGCTTCGACGGGTGCGCTGGCGGACAACCACGACATTCTGCGTGTGCAGTCGTTCGACGAAGCACACGACGAGGGTTTGACGATGGTCGACGCCGAGACGTGGTCGCACAACTACTCGAAAGAGTTTGAGTCGTTCATGGACGACACGCACTGTGAACAGACGTGCAAGGCGGTGATTCTGGAGAGGTTTGTGGAGAACTTCCAGATCGAGACCGAGCACTGGTTTGAGATGTTGCGGGAGCAGACGGAGAACACGATCAAGAAGCTGAGGGAGAAGGAGCGGCAGAACCAGCGCAAGATCCAGGTGCTGGTGGACCGCATGGAGACCATGATGGACAAGAAGATTGGCCAGAAGATGGCCGACGTGCGCTCCAACATGAACGAGAAGATCGCGACGGGAGTTGAAGGGGAGCTCACGGTCGCCCAGTCGAGCTGGCGTCTGCCGTTCTTCGTCATGGTCGTGCTTATTGCAGGCGGCGTCGGCGTGGCGTACCAGAAGTACCGCAAGCTGGTCAAGAGCCATTTGTACTAGGAGTCGGTCTTCGAGGCCGTGCAAGTGAGTCGTTTTGCCGGTGGGAAACGTGGCACTGGTCGGACGCAAGAGAGGGAGCAAGAAAGTCGACAAACAACGACAGCAGTAGCGTCTTTGATGCAGATGGCTACACGTGTAAACAGACTGTGGCGGGCGGCCGTCGTAGGAGAAGACGTTTGTGCGCACTACTGTGATGCGTTGGTGGTAGGTGGGACGCAAGCCGGCAGGAGCGGCCTGTACAAACAAATACCACAACACGTATACGTCCTCGGAGCTGTTGTGTTCAGAGGGCCTACCGACGATCGCAACCTCTACAAACGAATATACCCCAACTTGATTACGACGTTCCACGATCGTCAGTCGCCACCGATCCTCTCGTGCCGTGTCGTGTCCTCGCGCTCGCCTTCGCTGCAACATGGGGACGCGCGGCCACGTCGCGCTCGCGTTGCTCCTCCTGTCCGCTCTCCTGTTGACGTACACGTTCCGGGACGAGCTGCAGGCGGCGCACGACGCGCTGCAGCTCACGTCCGAGCACCGGCCACTCGGTCGGGTCGACCGCGACGCCCCAGTAAAGAGCGTCACGGTCTTCCGCAATGGGTTCTCGACGGGCGGCGTCGAGATGGAGCTCAGTGCCGCCGTATTGGCGACCAAACGGGCCCAAGCGGGCGACCTGGCGGCGTACTTGTCGCAGTTTGTTGCCGTCGAAGGGCCGTTCACGTCGGACACTGCGGCCACAAACGAGCGCAGCGACGCAAAAGACGACATTGACGACGACGACGTTGACGACGTTGACGTCGCTCGTGTCGTTGCTGACCGCGTCTTTACCGGCCGCGGAGAACTCGTGCAGACGTTTTCCGACGTTCGATCCGGTGACGTGCTCTACCTGGTGGCTCCCGGGCTGTCGTTCATGTGGCCGTTTGTCGCGCTGGGTCACCGCGTGGTCGTGACGCTCGAGACAGGTCCGAACAAAGGGGAGCCGGTGGTGATCGAGTCGATCTCCGAGACGCCACGGACGTTCCGCCTGCACCAGTTCTTCCGCGACGACGAGGCGGACGCGTTGATCCAGCAGACGAGGCAACGAGGTGGCGGTGGTGGTGATGGCTCGCAGCCGTCGAGTCGAGACGCGGGGAGTGGCAAGCACCGCATGGCCAGCAAGACGAAAGCCCGCTCGGGCGAGAGCGTGTTCGACGCGGTGTCCGACACTGCGGTAAATATGCGCAAGCGCGTGCTTCAGGTGCTCTTGCTTGGACGGGACAGCGACGAAAAGGCCGCGGATCTGGAACTGCTGCAGTACCAGCCCAAGCAAGCGTACGTACCTCACGACGACTATTTCCTGGTCGGTGCTGCTCACGGGTTTCGTCTTGACCTGCCTCAAGGAGGCTCCGACCGGTTTGCTACCGTGTTTTTGCATCTCTCGGATGTTGCGCGCGGTGGTCAGACCGTCTTTCCGCTAGCCGACATGCCTGCAGACGGTCTGCCAGCCGAATATGGCCACCCGCTGCACGCAGCTCAAGACTATGGAGCAGCTGGAGCAGAGCTGTTTGAACCAGGCAGCCCGCAGATGGACATGGTACGGTCGTGCTCGACAAAGCTGGCGTTTTACCCTTCACGAGGTAGCGCTGTGCTCTTTTACGGCCAAAAGCCAAATGGCGAGCCCGATCCCATGTCGCTGTACGGAGGTTGTCCCGTGATCGAAGGCGTCAAGTGGGGCGCTAGTCTCCGTGTCGGAAAGAGACACCGCCGTGACTTGGATGTCGATCCCCTTGCGTGTAGCGTCACGTTTACAAACCCAACGTCGTGTGCAGTGAAGCTGTACTGGTCCGACAAGCTCATGAGTACGCTCGCAGCCAACGGCGGTAGCATCACCTACAATTCCTTCAGCAAGCACAAGTGGGTACTCAAAGCCGGCGACCGCGTCCTGCTCGAGTACATCGTGGACGCCACAGATGGCGAAAAGCGGACGGTCACCGTCCCACTAGTCCACAAAGACGCCACAAATCAACCAGCAGCAAGCGTCACTGACCAGGCGAAAAAGCGCCTCAGCACCAACGCCGACACGAAAGACGAGCTGTAGCTACCCCAACGACCACCAAGAGCACGAACGAGTTGTACAAAGTGCGTGTTGAGTGTCGTCCTCCTGCGCTTCCTCCTTCTCCTTCTCCTTCCTCTCTCTCTCACCCTCTCTCCGTCGATCTCGCCGCCACGTCCATTGGCCCCTCAAGCCCTTCGCTGCTTCTTCGTGGCTCTGCTGCTTGCAACAAAGACCTGTTCCAGCTCATGGTCGCCGAGGGACTGCTGCTGTTTACTACTCATTGGCGTCTTTTGCTGGAACGTCCGACGTACGTGCAGCAGCTGGTCGTCCGTCGTCTCCTGTTTCTCGCCCCCACCGCCCGTCTTTTTTTTGTCTGCTTTGCGTGCGTCCATGCCCTCAAACTGCTTGGCCTGCTCGACCCGTTCCAAGTACCGCTCGTTCTCCTTCTTGTGCTGCGCAATCGCCACGCGCAACTTCTGGTCGCGCATGCGGTTTTCGTACGCGACTTTTTCCGTCAAGTGGGCCCACTTGAACCCCCGCAAGTACTTGAGGTTCCACATGTCGTCGTGGTAATAGTCGCGCTTGCGACCGCCAATGGGCGTCGTATTGAGCATCGTCGCGACCCGTTTGGCGACTTTTTTGTCCTCGAATTCAATCCATCCTTCGGTATACTGCAGACGACGGTTACCGCCCGCCGAGACGCGCTTTTTGTGCAACGTCTTGTCCTCCGGGACGAGGTAAATGCGGTTCACGGTACCGTACTTAGTCAACAACGACCGTACTTTCTCGGGTTTCATGTGTGGAGGGACGCGAGCGAGGTACACGACGCCTCGACGCTCGGCTTGGCGGTTGAATTGCTCCATCTTTTCACGGGAGAGGCTCGCGAGAGGGGACGGCCGCCTGGTCGAAGTGGCTGTCGGACCGTCGCTAGCAGCTTGGGACGACATGATGCGTTCGGAGAGATCGATGGAATGTTTTTTTAATGACTGACTCAATTTGTCAGTGGGTGAGCGAGTGATTGATTGGTAAGGAAGAGTCGCGGGGTGTGTTTCTTTTGTGTTTCTTTCGTGTTTTGATCACGTGACGGCACGTTTTGTCACTTGGTGGCGTGCCGCGGGGTGATGGATTCATGATCGACGCTACCAATCATTTGGTTGGTTCAGAAAGGCTTTTTTGTGTGATCCGCTTCCTCTATTCGCGATCGGCTTTCTATATTTGCAATCTGCTTTTGCTTTTTTTGCAAATATGGCATTTTCTCGCACGTGTCACAAAAGGGGCACAAGGACTCGATTTGGATGCAGGTAATGTCAATGAATCCAGCTTTTATTCAGATATTGGCGGTTTTGTCCAACATAGTTACAACAGCTGACATGGCCCTCTACGTCCACAATGTCCTCGGCCGCTACAGCTCATATAGCGCTTGTATGATAAAGCGCTGTGAACGTGATCGCTGTCCAAAAGTGGGCCTTACGCCTTACACACACCTTCTCCACTCGATTGCCGTCTCGATTATCCATCGGCCAACTCAATGACCCTATCAACACAAGACGCACATCGTATTCGTCGAGCTTACAACAGCCACTGCAACCGCAACAGCAGCAGCAGTAGCAGCAGCAGCAGCAGTAACATTCCTCTCGATTCTGCTATGGGTCCCTCCATCGAACAGCTCTGTCCAGCCACAGATGATGAAACAACCTCCTGCTTGTCAAACGCACCAACGGGCTACCGCCACCTCCACTTGACCGCACAGGGCACCAATGTCGTGGTGTGCACGAAACCTCCGAACTATTTCGAGAGGTACAATCGCTTTGGTCGCCGCGTCGCGCTTTGCACTCTTCATTGCTATGTGTATCGTCTTGGAACTACCATTGTACATATACGACGTCGCCACAACATCGTGGGGACAAAAGCTACCGTGACACGAGCCTGTCGAGCTGCGTGCTGAGCTGCAAAAGGACTCAAGTTAGCAGCTGGGATCTCTTTGGCGGCGTCGAGCGCACGCATCGCCGATGGAGGGCGTGCGATCTCGGCGTCACGAGCTACTCGCACTCGAGCTAGATGCGATCCAATATTGTATGATGGTAAAGGCCCAGCACCTCCTGCTTTTCTGGTGACAGGAGATCGGATACCATCGTTTCCTGCACGTGTGGGTTGGCAGTGGAATCGAAGGAAGCGATTGATCATGTATAGGTCACTCCTCTGTTTGCCATGTTCGGACGCGCTCGTGTTAAGTATGTCAAGAGCAATAGTTCCGAGCCACGATGAAACTCTCGCTTTCGATCAAACATGATGTAATTCGATGAACATGAGCGGCCAAAAGTCCTTTGCAAAAGCAGCAAATATTCATGAGTTTTAGTCCGTCACGTCCTTGCAATGACTTGTATCTTGATCTCGACCCCAACAAGCACACCTGCACTTCTGAACACGGCACCTTTGAGTCAGTTGCTTTGACGATTGAGCTGACTCGGTATGCTATGATGGCGTAGGGAGGAGTAACGTACTGTCTGTTAGAAGTTGAGCATTATGGACGTTGAAGGTGCGATCAGCGCCAGCTATCATTTCCTGCTTGCATAGTGAATGGAAGTAGTTGGTGCCAGCGACCAACCGTTTTGAGATGGTTGGAGCAGGGATAGTGAGGTGACAGAGTAGCTCGGAAAAAAGAGCAAGTCATCTCGATCTCAGAATCTTATGGTCCTCTTTCATAAGAAGTCATATTCCCTACACTGTCGGCCTCAAGGTGTTGGCGCAGGGTTGATCCCTTCATTGGACAATCTAAGTGATGGAAAAGACGTCGACTAGGTTGACATTCGTTCATGCACTGTAAAGGGTCGTAAAAACACTCGATGGTCCGATCTTTGTTTACATCATATATGTCGTAACGGGTACTTGGACGTTCACAGAACGCTGTTCTGACTTTCGATAGCAATTGCGAGCGTACCATCAGTACACATCGAGTGTTGCGTGGGTAGAGAGAGGACAGTAGATGCTGCAGTACTTCCTTGCAACACTCTTTGGGTAGTACTTGACGTCATGTATGCTTGTGACGCACAAGTTTCTTGACCAGACGCTCAGTGTCACAGAATGCGGCAAGGAGTGCTGCCTGGTACTTCCTGAATGGACAAGAAACAGCGACGTTAGGGTACACTATCATCGCATTGTAGTCGATTGTGCGACTTCCGTAAGTCGGCTGCAGAGTCGTCAGTATCGATTGAAGACGCATGGGGAGAGGCCAAAGACATCGCTTGATGGTGATTTATGTCTTACAAACGGAGGGATTCGTGGTGAGATATCAACCTCTCGTGAGACGGTGTATACGTCGCGTGCGCATCGATATGCCTAAGGATGAAAGTATCAAAATTAGCTCGTGACAGACAAGTCTGCACCACATAAAGTTGCATGCTACAGAATACCGAATGCGATTGTCCTGTTCATGTCTGCCGACGCGACACTTTGTACACGCAAAGGACGCGTAAGTCCGAGCTCGGCATATGGTAAAGAGTCTTACCGACTTGCATAAAAGCACTTGTCGGCTCATCGTTAATCTACGGGTCGCTACACCACCAGGTCGCTTCATCGTGATTTTGCCGACAAGGCTGACGCTGTTACTATGATCGCATCATTTGCAGATGCGCCGATGTAAACAGTGCCAATGTGAACGGCATCGACACGGCATTGAGTCTGAAGACGCTTCGCTTCCCGTACAAGCCTTATTCTGTGCGTTTCGCTTCGATACAACTTAGCTCGCGTCATCCCGTTCTCGACTACAAGTTACTCGACTCGCCTTCTTTCGGCATGATGACAATGTAACGTTCAGCACTTCAATCCCAGGCCAGCGCCACGTGCCATAGTCTCGCTGCATTGTTGCACCCTCAGTCGCATCCGCACACCAATCTCGTCTTGCTGTTGTAGTAGTATCGGTGGCCAACTCGTTCCGTCCGAGTGTCACTCACCGCTATCCCCTGCTCGGCACCGTACACCGTCGTGAATGATCAGAAACGGCGCTTAGTGTCGTAGTTGTCGTGAAAGACTCGGTCAAAAGTCGTGCCGAAACCGTCGACATGCCGACAACGACTCTTCATGGCGATCGCATATTTCGGTTCAGCTTCACGGTTTCATCAACCGGAACGACCGGTCTGGTCGTGACACGATGGCCGCGGGAGCACGAGCGTCGAGCTCATGATAGCCGCCTCTCCAGTGAAGGCCTCAGGTGCCGGTAATGACATATTCTCAGTATTCTGCATGATTGTGGCGACGCTGCAGCAGCCAGTAGCACCGTCGATGTAGATCAACTCTCGCTGCATCTCCATTCCGTCCTCTACATCAGTAGCAGCACGATTTGGTTCCTGTTTCAGCAGCAGCAGCTTATGATTGACGCACGCAAAAGCAGAGGCGAACAGATCGTGTGGTTTATTCTTGTCCATTAGCCGATCTGAAGACAAATGCACAGACCACATGTGGCTCGAAACTCGATGGAAGCCATAACATGGACTAACTTCAATTTCGTACAGAGGTCTACAGGAGTTCGGTACACACGGTCGACAGAGAGCTCATTTAGGGCACGTCCAGAATCGATCAATCGCTAGCTTCGACTCTTGACGCCACGTGTGTCCCCAGTGATGCTGACGAGGTCAATGCCCAGCTCGCTGGGCCGATATAGAGGTGGCATGGAGTTCACTTTCGGTAGTGAACGAGCTTCGCCGGTCGATATGAGCAGGGGGCAGCTTAGTCGACGAGACGACAGGTTGTTGGAAAACGCGGCTGGGGACATGCACCCGCCGAGCACACTGGACGAATCGGACGAGGCGAATGAGCTCCACATGGCGTCGACGCTTTCGATCGGACTGAGCGACAGTCCGTCGACGTCTTGTTCGTCCCACTCTGCGTCGAAATAGTCCAGAACCTCTTCCTCTTCCGTGCACGTGAGGATGGACAAGTTTTCGCGATTGCGGTCGCGTTCACTAAAGACTTCGAATGCTTGTGTTACCGTTAGAGCCATGTTGTCTTCTTGGCTGCTCTGTGCAAATGAAAGAGTGATGACGACTCGAATCGTCTCAGGACAACGTGGCCAAGAAAGTCGCGTGTGGATTCAGTATCACTCGCCGTTTCAGTCGTCAGAGCACTTGCCTGTCCACTCTTCTGGATCATCTTTTTCTTCACACTTGCTATCAGGAGGTTAAGCAGTCAAGAGCATTGTGGTCGAAAAAGAAAAGCACGTGGATAGATAGTGGAGCTATACCGATCAGCCGCTGCGCGCGACTCGCACGGCGTCGTGTGTGGAAGTTGGCCGTAAATGCGGAGGTGCAGGTTTGGCGGCATCTTCGCATGAACGACCAGGTGTTTTGACTGGATAAAACAGGCTCGATCGACTGTTTTTATCAGGAGAAAACATTGACTATCGGATCCCATCCTTCCGGCGTGAGTAAGGCTCCGTCCAGTGCTGTGCTGCGCTGTGTTTGTATGTCGTCAATATGACCGACGCCGTCGTACGATCAACATCTGCCGAATCACATTATGTGTTTTGCAATGTTACAGTCGATAAAAACGGATGTATTGCATTTCGGTCGTCGATCAAAAATGTCACAGCCGATAGAAACGGGTATCGAAAGGAATATATTGCATTTCGATCTTCAGTTCGCGTTCGGAGCCGGAACCTACCGGTTTATCAGCTAGAACAGTAAAACCCAACTCGTCGATTTTTGGAGCTAATCCGAATCCTCTTGGCACAATACTTACAGCGGATCAAACCGGTCTTGATAGTGACGAACCCGCTTTTAACGCTGACGAACCCACTTTTAAAGCTGACGAACCCGCTCTTGGCGCTGGTAAAAACAGGGCGAAGACTGACCCGCGACGAGACCACCGAAGCCGAAGAAGGACTGACGATCGAAGTCGTTGCCGATACAAAGTACCGAGTGCAACCAATTGTCAGCAACTAGCTACAAGATCCGTCGGTACCGAGTGCAGAGCCGATTCTGTCGCATACCTATCATCTATGACGTCGAGTGCATTTAGCGCCATGCAGTAGTCAGCGGCAAGCGCAAGCTTAGATGCAATGTCAATGCTTTCACATGAAAGGACCCATGCGATCACTGCTATCCATGGTGCTGGATCGTACGTGAGGCGAAACATATGAAGCAGAAGTGAACAACGCAGAGCACATCGAAGCAATCGGAAGGACGTATGACTGTGCTGCAAAGAGTTTTCTCGGAGACCGTTGCAAAGCATTCATACAGCCGCAACTTCGTTGCAGATAGCGCTGAAAGCAGTGGTACCCACGTACAAGCCTTTGCGGTGCGACAAACAGGATCGTCGGAGAAGCACAACAAAGGACCACATCGTGGCCCCATGGACTGATCAGAAGACTAGTGCTCGGCCATAGCGTAGACAGAGAGACCTCGCTGGCCATCGACGTCGTTCAATTGCGGGGCTCAGCTCGATGTTGCATGTCAACCGGGTTTTCAGAAAGTGCAGCCGGGTAGAACCGGCTCGGGCCCGAGTCGACATTTTGCAGATCTGCTCCGACCCGATTCTGCATAGATTGCGAGCCGCAAGCAGCTGGACCGGCTCGAAACGGGCTCTAGCCGGGTCAACTCTTATACATGTCTAGTCAATAGTCGTTGTCCCAAATTCCGACGACAGACGAGGCCGTTTACAAATTTCGTTGAGAAGGAATTGCTACATCCTCCAGGGGATAGCTCCACGTGGAATGAGCCAATTCAGTCAAGACCATTGACTCCCGCCAGGTGAGCGGCCCAGCGTCTACTTCCAGTCATTCGTCAATCAACCGCGCGCACGGAGCACTCAAGATTACAGCGATGAGGTCCGCAGTGCTCATCATTGCTCTGTTGGACATGAATGCACTCACCACTGACGCCTTCCACCGCTCGCACGACTTCGATCTGATCAAGGGAGCGGGGCTGTACGAGCAGTGCAAGTGGCAGATCAATTCCGTTTTGTGTGATAAGGGTCTATTCTGCCAGACCAAGACGAGAGACTCCGGCCGATGCATGAAGATAAACCCGGGACTTCATGACCACTGCGGTGGCCCGACCGCGACAGGCACGTGGACCAGGCCCTGCAACGCCACGAACCTCAAGTGTATGCCGACCAGGAATGGAACGAAAACGTGCCAACCTAAACGAAGTCGCTGGAACCCGGAAAGGATCATTCGCTACTTCATCCGCGAGGAGAATGCCGAGGAGGTGTCGCCGCAAAATTAGCGGCGCCAACGAGGGCTGCGCCTTTGGACTACAGTGCTGTGTACCGACGACAGCTAGCGCTCAGAAGCGTGCACTACGGCGGGTCCTGACTCGCCGTAGTGCACGCTCGCCTTATGGCGACTCAGGAATAAGCAGAGAAAGATTTTGTCGTCAGACCAGCTACAATGGCGTTGATTGCACGAGGGAATGCATCATGAAGTACTAAACTCTGGAAGACAGTCAAATATACGTGGTGAGCGTGACAGAACGTGGTAAATCATGTGCGGGAATAAATAAATAACAAGTGCACTAAATCAAGCGGTCGTTCACTTCTTCGTCCGTCCCTCCCCAAATATTATCAGTCGCGCACAGGTCTCATCAAGCCCTATCCCCTCGTTCCGGGCACTCGATCTTCGGCGGGAATCCTCCCTTGCGGAATCTGAAGTTGGTGGGGGCTATCTCGGGCATATGTTTGGCACGGCTTACGGTTGCGCGGGACGTAGACGGAGAAGTTAACGATCGGTGGCGTCGCTGCGCCACGCGTCACTGCTCCGGTATACGCACACGTCGGATCGAGGGACCGCGGCAAGCGGTCCTGATGGGGCAGATTTTGAAACTGACGGCGTCACGCGTAGCCGCTTCGGCGGTCGCGCGAGCGGCCTCGACGGGGATGATACTTTAGCCGAAATCGTCCCCGCGCCACCGTCATCGCTTCGGCGATCGCGACATCTAGTTTTGAAAGGTCGCTCGAGCAACCACACCAGGGACTGCTGCCGCGTATTTGACGACGTCGCCTTGGCTACGCGTACGTCAGGTCGGTTGACCGCGCTTGCGGTCACCGATTCCGTCGGGCGCTTTTAATTCGGCGCCTTGACGTCTGCTGCTGCATAGGACAGCGTCGCACTGCGAGCACTTGAAAGATAGGCTCGAACCTGGCTTAAGTGGTTCAGTCGTTGATTTTTTGCTTCCCTCGCCTCGTGCTCTTCGGAGCACCCACGTAGTAGATCCGGTTCACGGGTCGTACTTCCTGTCGCATTCGGTCGTTAATTATTTAAAATAATGGACGTACATAACACCACCACCACTTCTTCGTCGGTCAGTCGTTTCCCGGGAGAAATTGCTCCCATTCGATTCGCCTTTTCTGCGACGCTGACGAAACTTCGTCGAAAATGCGGGCACCCGGCTGAGGTGACGACGGCATGGTCGCCTCAGCCGGTTGCGCACAATCTCGACAGGTCGTACTGCGTCAATTCGACGTCAACACTTAAGTGACTGTTTATGACTAATACAAAACAAGCTGATAATAATTTCAACAACCTTCTTTGGCGCCAGTACAATATACGGCAAAAAGATCTGATTATCCTTTAGTGCTTTCATTTACCTAATCATGCATGCTTTAGAGCCCTATCACGCTTATGCTCAGGTGCTGTCGCGCATGCAAAGGGCGATGAACTGGATATATGTAAAATGGGCGGTTCAAGAAGAAGATTGCCTTCTACTAATATAATGTTCGGAATTTGTTCGTTATCTGCAAAGATATTTCCTTTTCGATCAGCATTCGTTTGTCCTGATGATTCCCGTTTCGCGTGTAGCCATCCTTTTTACTGTCAACTTTGTACGAGATGAACACCGACCATCGATATATGTAATCATACCCAGCCCACAGCCCGTTACCGCATTGGGATATCCGATTCATGCTGCTTCTTTCGCGTCGGTGTCGACGTTGCCGACAACGACCCAGCAAATGAGTGAACCCTGTCAGTCTACAATATGGCTCAACGTGTCACCGCAGTCAGATCTTGTCGACCACGATTTCCGTCAGCTAATGAAGTAAAACAATGTATCACTACAAGCTTGGTTCAGGCTATCGATAGCGGAGTTCAAGACTCTCTGCTTTTGCGCCTCGAGCTATCCCAGCTCGTCGCAGCAATGTCATCAAGCTTTTACGTAGAATAGGACTCGCATCATGCGGATCACGGGTGTGTGGTCATGCTAATGTAGACTCTAGATGACTTGCCTTCTTATTGTGAAAAAACAAGCGCTTCTGGTTATTGTTGACGAATACAGTATTCGCTGTTTTGACCACCGTTGTTTTACATCTTGCAAACATATCTGTATTTGTATCACATTATGCAAATGAACATCGTTTGGTCGATTTCTAGCTATAATTGGCGGAACGCGCGCACCCGTCATCGACTGTCTTCCGCTGTCTGACAGCTCGGCAACATCATGCGTGCCGTAGGTCGGATCCAAGTGCTCCGCGTCAACCATCTCTTACTCAACAGCTCGTCCAGAGTATTTGTACGAAAAAGCGTGCCGCTGTTTCCACCGCCTAAAACGAGCCCTTCCGGCCTTGCACACAACGTTTCGACTGTGTTGTAGACCCATCTACGATGATCGAAGCCTCTACGATTGACGAAGCTCCTATGATATTTTTGACTTGCGAAAGCTGCAACAACGTCGTTCTTGTTTCTGCTTTGCGGTCTGAGTTGTACATTGTATGTACAGCCACAGATTTATCAAGCATCTTCTTGTCCTTTCCTCACGCAATACTTGTCTTGCATACGCAACGACATTGCATACGGATAGAATGCGGATACACCAACTATACAACATGCCACACCCTCAGCTATGTTCATGATTGCCTGCGCGCTCCTTCTCCGTAGCCCGGAGCATGTCTTTTACATTGCTGAGTCGATGTAGTAATGATCGATGTAGCGTCAATCCCTGTTTGTAACCCTCCCGTCTTTGTGATTTTCTGCCGCATAAAAAATCTATAGGTACTCAGTGAGACTGAATCGCGCCTTGAGCACAATGAAGCAAAGTCTACAAGGAATAGAATTCCAGACCCCTTCGATATCTCCATGGTCGGTTCTGCCTACAATTGCTGGCTCAGGCTCTACTACTGATACCAACACCACGACAACAAACGGTCGACGTCATCCCTGGCAGCTTCGGCTACTCAAACAGAAATGTATAACGCAGATCGTCGTTTTGCGAAGATCTATACACATTGGACGACCCACGTTGCTCGCTTTTGCTTTATCCGGCTGGCGGACCCAATACATTCGCGTAAATGTGGCTTACTCTGAACAAAGAAGACCCCTGATCTCGCGCTAAGTTCACGTCGATAAGGAAGCTACTACTATTTCTATGATGTCCGTCCAAGGACGATGTCACCATCGCTCGGATGTATAGACGTCGTGTGAACTGCCACGAAGAGCTAAGTACGGACGTGATGCCGATTGACGATAGCTGGTAGTAAACAATAGTGATCGACGATGGTGTTTGGATTGGAAAACGCAATGCAGATGGGGTCATGGATTCAAGGCGACAAACGTGCACTCGTAACATCATAAAAATAGAGAAGAGAACATGTCGAATTCGTATCGCGCCATTAGCGAGGCCAATGCCTTGAATGGGTGCAATTTGCATGATGTCATGGGGACCTTTGCTAGATTACTGCACACAATATAATAAACCTACACTGATGGCAGCGAGGTATGTGCCTCGAATAGTCACGTACAGGGCGTAGAGCGCTGAGGGGACAAAACAACTGAACGGACGCGCTTCGTTGGAGGATAAATTAACCGGGATTTTAAGTCGAAATGAGATTATTCTTCATACGCGTGGTTCGGACTTGCTTGAATTATGTCTGTCTACAAGTATGCATGGTGTCTACTTGCTCGCCATCCACTGCGTGTGCCCTTCACTATCATTGGACTTCTTGTATATAGATATGTTGGACTCTATCGGCCGATAATTGAATATGGAGACTACTTCCAGGTCAAACAACTAGCGCGTGAAGAAGACTAAATCGTTGTGTCGGCGGTTCAAACCCACCTCCAGATGGTTTGGTGCAAACAGTGTTGCGTTTTGATGTTCCACAAATACACGTGCGATGCCATCACTCGTTGACAAGGCAATACCTCGTTCTTGCACACCATTTCGATCCTTTTATTATTTTTGTGTTCGATTCCAGTATATAAGATAGATCAACAGCCATACGAACATGAATAGATTATCTTGTATTATTTTGATGGAACGTCGATATCGTGGAACGGGCTCACCCGTTTTATCATTTCCTCCTAAACCAAAAGTTACGGTAGTGACATGGATGGGTATTTGATTGATTACCGTCGGGTTTGTGTGGACTTGCAGGTCCGACCGTTCATTCCAGCTTTCATCGTGCTATTCACGAGCCCGTGCAATGCGCAGCGAATGCTTCAGAATGCGCAGTTAAACCGCACGTCATCTCCTGTGTTTTAGTGAGTTGGAAAGCCTCCTTCTTCGTGTTGCTTGAAAATGAGACGTATCGTCTTCTTAACCAGTCCACGCCCACAAGAGTGCAGAGAGGGTGATTCAAGCTATGGCTCTATGCACCGTGATGCTTTCGGTGACTTTTTCTTGCATCGTCGTGATCTAAGTGATCATGCTGATCGTGACGAACGGGACGTCAACTACTATATTGAAGCTACACATGAGTACAGATGACATTGACTTGCTCTTGAAAACGAGTAACGGATGCCTCTACCTTTGTACCGCTTGTAGAATACGACTCGCGACCACTTCCCGATGTAGCTGACTCGTCAAAACTCAATTGACTAGCCATCATTGTAAATGGCTTTCGAACCAAAAAAGAGGCTCACACGACATCTTGTGAAACATCGGTGGTACATTTGATACCTTTATCGTATTCGCAACTCTCTTGTTTACGCCTGGAATGCGTTTGGTCACATTGTAAAGGATCTTGCACGCGAAGTGTGGTGAAAAATGCGTATTGCAATTCGAACGAGATTTTGAAACGAGAACGTTTACCTCAGCACATATTAAGCTGTATCGTTTTCCGTTGTAGAGGCAGTCTTGTCGTGTCTTACATTGATAAAAACCTGCCAAAGTTGTACGAACAGCATTGGTTGCGCACCCAAAGAGTCTTGTTGACATACTAAGCCTTATTGGATGGGTTGCGTTCTTCTGGAGCTGATAACATACTACTAATTTGCAATCTTTGACGAGTGCGT